TATTTTTAGTAGCAGATCTTAATCGACTATGCTTGACATCATAATCGATTAATATGCTTCATTGACTCCAATTTTTTATTTTTTTTTGGATTTTTTGTATATTGTTTCCAATTGTATAAATCAATTATAATGTTTGTATAATATTTGCTTTTGTAAAATATAGTTGAGTTTCCATTTTTACAGTTATGATTTGTTATTTTTAGTACTCGGTTCCTTAAGCGACTATAGTTCATCATAGTTGATTTAATAAGCTTCATAGTCGATTAACACACCTAATAGAGAGAAAAAAAAAAGTTAAAAAAAATATTTAAAAAAAATTAATTTTTTTTTATTAAAAAATAGAAAAAAGTTTTTAAAAAAATAAAAAAAAAATTAAATAATAATTATAATAAAGGAATAATAATAATAATAATATAAAAAAAAAAAAAAAGAGAGAGAGAGACACGGCTGATGGGTCATGGTCATGGTGACAGTGTGTAAGGGGGAGGGACATAAGTGGAAAAATGGGTTGTGAAATTTGGAGTGGGTTTTTCTCAGATGATGACGAATAATTTGGATTTTCCCATATTAAAAGAAGTATTGAGGGGGTTATATCATAGAGCCCCTTAATTATTATCATTAGGGCATATTACAAATAACCTCACAGTCCCTCACTTATTGGCAAATAAATCACACCAAAATATCTTTAGCATAGAAGCCCATCACCCTGTGTTTTGATCGAAATAGCCTCCCTTAAATATCAGATTTCATAACATTCCTCTAGCCCCACTTCCACTCTGTCAGTTTCGTTCCTGTAACAGCCCACAACCTAACAACAGAATCCAATCGGATCACCGCCATTAAGTTAGGGATGCTAACCTTTTTATATATACTTAAACTTAAACATTATGGTTTTAATACAAAAATACGTTATATGCTTTGAAAAGAAATCAAACTTTGTACTTTCTCAAAATCTGTACATACACACACACACACACACACACACACACACACACACACACACACACACACACACACACACACACAAAATGAAATCATAATAGAAATTACATTGTACAAAAACCATAATAGAGCGACTAACAAAATGAAATCAGAGTTTCTAACTCGGCTATAAAAATGGCTCAAAGCATGGCATATGAACAAATCTCTGACTGGCCGCTCTTGGCTAGGTCAACTTCTAAACATGTACATCATTACCTGCATCATAAGAACCTAATGAGCTAATGGCTCAGCAAGTTGAAACTGAAATAATAGCAATATATCACATAATACATTATGTTAGAGTAGGTGACCAACAAGCCAACTTGTGGTTGTGGTCTTTCTCCTTTCCTTGTAATAAAACAATCGTTTTTCGTTCGTAAAATATAATAATCTTATTTGGCATTCTATATCTGTTATCCCATGCAAGCAGCATAGATATAGTCCTAACGAGTTACTCTATTACTATGAGTTGATCTAGTAGAATCGTGAGATAACTCAGCAATGTAATGTAACTGTTAAACCTTGTTCCTAGTCGATGGGTTACGCCAATAATGAGGATACCGGCCTTTCCCTTTTGAGACTAGCACTTAGTGTATGTGTACTGCGTCTCATCAGTCCTCGGTGTTGTGACATCGGCATACTTGAGTGGGTGCTCATACTGGATGAGTTCACTGAACTCCCTCGCCCTAGAAATCTATAAGTGGTTCTCATTCGTCGAGTAATAGGTTTCTAAGATATAGTTGTACACCATTAGTCCTTAAGACCCAGACATCACCGTGACTTCACTAGAGGACCGATTGTATCGTGACCTATCCCTGAGTCCCACCGCGGACCACTCGAAGGGCCAACGTTCGTGCAATCCGAAATCTAGTGTGAAGTCTGTGTATTGTAGTAGGGGATTCGAGCGCTTGAGTAGTCATGGATGTCCTGTGTGTTCTGACGGTTTATAATCCATGGAATCTCTGGCCAGAGTTGATAGTGGGGTGATTAGGGAAATGTGTTTTCCTAAGTCGCACACGAACGGATTTATAATACCTAGAACGTTCACACGGTTATTGAACTTTATAAGAGGTCTCGGTGAACCAATGCCTCTAGTTCAATCGGGACATGCATGTGCTGCGAAGGGATCGTACTGTACGCTAACTATATCATAAGGTTCTTGCAGGCACTTCATTTGTATCTAGGGAATCATGATGCGTAGTTGCTAGACGCCAATCTTGATTCGTTGGGCACCGATTTGATCGGGATTAGGTAAAATGAGTTTTACTCTAATCGGGACTCTTGGGAGGAGTTCGTATAAGAACAATATGTTGTTCGAATCACAAAGAGTTGTGAGCCCACGGCTAGCATACACCTGAACCATTGAGGGTCACACTTCTCGCGTAATATAGATCCTTGTTAACAACAAGCATAGATTAATGTGTTAATCTTTAAACGATTGGATGTCGATATGATTGAATCCAAGATTCGTAATTGTGAATTGCGAATTGGAATAAACGTGGAGAAAGAGAGACATGCGGAATTTAGTGAACTTTCTAAATTGGGAAGTTTCCCGATTTAGCAGGACCACTAAAGTGGAAGTTTCCAATTTTGGAAATTGGAAATTTCGAAGAGGCGTTCGTATCGACGAGGACTCTGAGCTCGTCACAAATATAATTTCGTTATAATTTTGTGGACGATCGTTTATTAGAAACGAGGCCGACGAGGGAATGGGCTTAATGCATCAGTGGGTCAAGCCCAATGACTTAAGCCCACTAGGGTTGAAAACCCTAGGTATAAATAGACCTCAAACAAGAGTTTGAGATCAGATTTTTCAGCACAAAAACCCTAGCCGCTCAGCCCCCTTCGGCCGTTGCTGCCGCTCACGCGCCACTGCCGACCACCGCCGGAAAACCGCCGGTTTTCTCCTCTTTTTCCTTCGTTTTATTTATGTATACATGCACGATCCCCAACAGTGGTATCAGAGCCACGGGTTAATCGTTTATTTGTCAACGTGTTTATCGCTTTCGAAAGCATGCTTCGATTTGTTGAATTGTTGAATTTTTGGTGTTATCAAATTGGGTGGTTTAATATTAATTAAATATTTTGAATATTTCAGAAAATATTAAAAATTTAATTTTGAAAAATTCGATTTTTTGCTGCTGTTTTTCAGCTGACCGAACCGGTCCGGTCGGACCGGTCTGACCGGTCCGGTCAGCAACAACAAAAAAAAAAAAATTGTTTTATTGAGTTTCTGAGATTAATATTAAAATTAATTGATTTTTAATTTTTGAAATTATTTATCAATTAAACCCTATTAGATAATTGATCCATTAATTTAATTTGAATTCAAAGAATAGTGTTGGATTAATTATTTAATTTAATCGTTAAATTAGTTTAATTAATGGAACACAAATTAGATGGCAAATAATTAATGGGCTTCATTCTTATTTGAATGATTTATGAATGAAGGAGGTCCGTTAATTATATTTGCAATTTATCGTATTAATTAATTAATTCATGAGATGAATAATTGTGATTAAGTACAATGATGATCGTATGTCTCTCTTAGGATCAATATGCGTTTCCACATACCTAGAGAACATAGTTGTAGGAATCACAAACGATCATACCCTAAAACTTCCGATGAGCTAATAAAATTTAATAAATAAAATCCCTCATTCTTAATCAAGAATAATTATCAAGCTATAAAGAAAAACCAAATTGTTGAATTTTTCTTTCCTTCTACCAACAATTAAATTATGTGTAGCCTCTCATAATAGTGCAGTAAGCCGTGTTAGCGGGGAGTGCTATTGTGGGATAAACTGTAATTTAATTGACATTAGATGGAGATACGGTCATAGATAAAATTATGTTGAATTAATGTGGTCGGCTAGATTAACTAGGGATTGCATTAGTTTGATATAGTTGGATCTATGACATCTCATATTGGTAGGCTAGACTTGACACACGAAGATTTTGATATTCGCTAGATTAACTTAGGTCATTATCAAGTGTGAGATAAATTGATCTTTAGGGTCACATAGTGATGTGATTGATAGTACTCTACCTTTAGGCTTATGTAATCGGGATAGATTAACTACGGGTTACATTAGCGCTATTGGACCTAAAGCCCATTAAAGAAAAATAAGTTTTCTCGATTGTCTGCTAGAGGGTGGTGGAATTCGATAAAATAGTGGGAGAACAATTAAAACATAAAAGTCCAAAATTTTAATTGTAACGATTATTACGAACTAAACTCTAATTATTGTCTTCTTAAAATTTTCTCAGCAACAATGTCCAAACATCCCCTTTCCTCAATCCTCGACCAAAACAAACTCACCGGTCCAAACTATTTGGATTGGCTTCGCAATCTGAAACTTGTGCTCCAAGTCGAGGAGCGTCTCTATGTGCTCAATGAACGTCCCCCCGCTGCTCTTCCTGCGACAGCTACTGCTGACGAGACTGCCACTTTCGAGGCATGGAAGAAGGACGACCTC